ATGCATAAGTATTTAAAATCAATGTTATTACTTATTAGTTATTAAATATTTATATAGGTATAGTAGTTACATATATTATATTTGTTATCATTTATCACTATCAAGTATATCGATTCAAAACGTTTATGGACATTTAAAAAAGTTATGTTAATTAAAATTATATGCGCAGCATTACCTATTTTATATTCCATTGTTATTGTGGTCTGCTGTGATTGTTTGAACGAATTCTTTTGTTTTATGTATTCTTTTTAAAAAAACTTCAGATAAACTGGAATGGAGGAATGCTTCGAACTGCATACATTTTAACGAATAATAATTTCTGTACAAGACTTTTAAAACATTCAGGAAAATAAGTTAAGTAACCTATTCAATAATATTCTTCTGCGAAACACATAGGATATGTCTTTCGAATACGAAGGTATCAAAAAGATTTTTTTTTGATAGTTCTATAAATATTATTTAGGCTTTCATCAGAATAAGAAATGATAATAATATGTAACCATGATGAGCAAATGATAATACGCTAATGTAACTAAAAAAACGTATTAAAAGTTATATATAAACATCGACCAACCTGCAGCRCAAAAGACATGATGATCTTAATATATAATAGTGTTTACTGTTTTCTATAGATGAATGGCAGACGCAAAGACTACAATGCATAGCGGCGTATTCATACTTTCTTCTCAGGAGGTTGCTTATCGATTTTTCCCTTCAACACTTGCCCAAGGATATAGTCCGAATTAAATATTTTTCAGAATGTTTGAACCATATAAAAAACGCAAATTGTTAGACTTCATAAAATGTTACTGATTTATTTCAATTTTCATGATAAAATGATAAACAAATAAATCGTAGACTTATTATATCTCTCAAAAAAACAGTCCAGAGGAAGTAGCTCCCCCTCAAATATGTTCTGGATAAACCGGCAATAAAATAATTGATTACAGCATGCATAACATTAAAGGACAGAAAATTTTTTGGACTTATTAGAAATACATGATGTTTTTGGAACTTCACCGGAATCGGTGGAGTTGAAATTACATCTCTCAAGCCGATTACGATTAATATTGATTAATCAACGTACAATTTCTATAAATATATACAGCTGCAGAGTGTAGATTATGGTGTTTACACATTTATAAATACGCGCTTGGGACACAAATAAATAGTATGTTTAAAATACGATATGATTTTCGAAAAATATCATATTGCTTATATTACTACGCGAATTACTGAAAGGTGTGTGTATTTGCTGGACCGTCATTCAACCTTCGCACATCACCATGTTGTGCGCAGTAAATAGTTTTCTATGGGTACCTGCAGCGGACTGCAGTGTGTGTCAGATTTCATCAAAATCAGTATTGTACAATYATGATTGTTTTACTGTAACAAGTATAATACAAAGCGAATATATATATTCATTAAGCAGCCAATAGGGGTAAACTTGATTTTGCATTTGATTAAGAAAATTAAAGTGAGTCTATATAATCAAAATTAAAATAAATAGGAAATATAATGGGATATGTAAAACAAATACTGTTCGAAACAAACATTGTTCTCCGAAAGGTGTTCTATATATGATGGGAAATGCAGTAGGTATGTATATAATTTTATTTTATGTAAAACCACTAAAAATAAATCCAACATTTAATGTTTTTTTTTTTGCGCGTCACGACCTCTGTTAACTATTTTCTATATTATTTATCTTAAGATATAACATGTTTTGTTATTGTTCCAAATAATAAGTATTATAAATTATAATATTATATAGTAAAATTGTACTGTGTATAATTTATTATAACAATAAATAATAATACAATAACAATAGGCAATAACAATAAGAATCTGTATATATATATATATAGATAGATGTAACTATACGATCTACAATCTTTACAATCAACTATCGTAGTGCCACAATTACTACAACTATAAATTATTATCTACTTATTAAAATAATATAGTTATTGTATACAATAATATACCTATAGGTATAATTTGTAAGTAAATCGCATCCGCGTACGAATCCCACGTAATTCTATATATATATAGTCTTTATGAAATGCGAAATTGATGATTTTGTGTTTCGACTAGGTGAACAAACAACATTCACAGAAAACCAATGAGAATGTCTTTTAATGTAATCTATAATTATTTTATAATAAACCAAACACTATATATTATTATTTATTATCAAATATAGGTATGATGGTAATATTTTGGAGTGGATCTCATCATGAAAGTTTACAAAAATATTTGTTGTCTTTGATAAATCACTTCGAAGCAACATAAATATAATCACTTTATATTTTTTCCAGGAAGTGATTTCGAACCAATTRGTAAATGTAATATAAAATTTAATATTTTCATAATTTAAATGTATATGATTTTTTTTCAAAATTACATTTTGATATCTTCTACAATCATAGACCTGCACGGCTTCGTTGATTGAACTAAAGTTTTAGACTGCAAACGTTTTTAAATATTCAGTTCTTTTTTATTTTTTTATCTGGCTATATTTTATTATAATTATTAATTTAACTATTATAAGATATTGTTATGGACAGCAATGAATATTATGCTGTCCGAAATACACACGCATGTCAAATAAAATATGTAATGTGATTGTAAATACTTTGACGGCCGCAAAAACAGATCTGACAAGCTACGGCAGCTACGCGAAAACGGAACAATTAATAAAGCTGCATATATAGCACAGCAGTTCTATGAAAAAAAAAAATAATAGCTAGCGATCTTCCCTTTTCGAAGCGCGTCTACTCGCAGTGGGCTGTCGCCGTAGGTATTTCTAAATACACGAATATCGTAAATTCGTAACATTCGTAAGTCTTGACTTTTGAGAGATTGCTTTTTTTTTAAATTTTTAAATTTTWAATTTAATTTTAAAGCAGAGTAKGTGCTCTTATGCAGTGCATTTATTAAGTCGTTCCAAATAAATAATATATATATTAATATAATAATATTAAAGTATATAGTATAATAACCACCTGTTTATTATGGGAAGTATAAAATTTTATTGTATATACAGGTAATTTTTTTTTTTTTTTGATATTAGGTACCTAGCTATTATTATAATTTATAAAATTATATTTCTAGGTTCATAAAACCAATATTATAATATAGGTACGCTGCTGCTCCAGGTATGTGTAAAACAAAGATATCGCTGTAGGCCACCCCGATTTAGAAATACATAATAATATTATTATAAGGACGAGAAGAGAACACGCCTTATACCTATTATATTGGACCAATTTTATGATTCTATATTTTATAATGAGCTCTGATCAGGGCCACATGCGGCTCTTGACACCAAGACCAAGCTTAAAGTAGATAAAATTAATAAATATAATATAAAATGCATTTTTCATGAGTAAAACTATCTTATGATTATTGTATTCATTCTATTTTTTAAACTAACGAAGCTACACGTGATCTGCTGACCATAAAAATGCTATGTTATAATACGCATTTTTAAGGTGGAGACAATAAATATGACAGTGCAGGATAAATATATCATCGTGCATATTGCATAATATTTATTAATAAAACGGTGGCAGCACCTAGGTACTAATATTATTATATTAAATATTGTATAAATATAATATGTGCATCACGGGAGAATCTATATATGCCATCACTCTCTTGTTATGCGGTTATTATATAGTAATTGATATATAATATTATAATATATTATGAATTATTGTATTTTGTCGTCGAGACGGGCTCTATTTCATTGAATTTTTTCATCTATTTTAGAGCCTATATAATATTATATAATACGCATCATGTGACCGAAATGAATACGGACGGACGCGCTCAGTCGTCTAAATAATATGCATATATATATATAACGGCCACGTGTTATAATGTTACTGCCCTGCGCAAACATTAATAAGCGCACACAACTCCAATAAATTAAGTAAAATAGATATTCCTCGTTCTGCAGCCGCAAATCGTATAATATAGATAAACCTAATATCAAAATCGTTATCATAACGGAAATGGTCCGGCGGCGGCGTCGCGGTCGTATATATATATATAACTACGTCATCGGAATAATTATTATGAAAATTATAAAACCTTGTCGGTGGGCCGACACCGCGTAAGGACGACGACGACTAATACTCGTTAGGCCACCCAGTTAGCGTCACGATAGGCACACACATAATACTGGAGCTGCGTGTACCTATATAATATATAAGTACAATGTATAATAATATAATAATATTATTCAGAAACGCGTTGTGAATGCGCGCGCGCGTGTAATAATAATAATAATAATAGTAATGATTAGGTATTATTATTTTTATAACGCTGCCGCGTGTGCG